AAAGCTAGTAGATTGTAAGTTATCGATCATACTGGTTTCGACGTATGATCATCAGACATTTCCTTAGATCTTCATATATTGACTTTCTAGACTAACAAAATTTTCGCTAAATATTGTGTTTTTTCTATCAAATTAAGGTTTTTGTTACAATATAGTCGAGACTTGAACATTATATTCTATTTGACCTAATCTATTCTACTTTTTAGGTATTCGCGAAGTATCACAGAGGTGTGAGTGGGTGTGGATGTCAATTGTATCAAAAGATCACATCCACAACCTCACACTCAGGATTCTACTAGAAAGCAATACGTCTGATGATACTGAGCAGAACTTACTATCATTGTAGCACAAGGTCCGTGTGAGTCTTACTATTATCATGGGTGTGGATATGAGTGTAGGCGGAATAAAGACCAATAAGCATATCCACACCCTCACTATTGGAAACATGTTAATTCTGATCGGAAAATAGGATGAACTTTGAAGCAGGAATTTGATGAGTAGTTTTGTTCGGTTACAATCAATTACAAACGGAACTAAAAGATCTTCATTATATTCATGCTTCCAAGTGTATACGACATATTCTTCGGAATGTTCTAGGGTGGGGTGTGGGTGTGGGTGGGTGTGGGTGTGTGGGTGTGGGTGTGAGTGTGGATGGGTGTGGGTGTGGGTGTGGGTGGGTGTGGGTGTGGGTGTAGATGAAGAGTTCTCACACCCACGCCCACGCCCACACCCACACCCACACCTACACCCTCATCGCACACAAAATGTATCAAATTTCTTCATGATAATCGTAGTTCTCATACTGTTAGAAAGGATGGAACTTTGTATTAGTAATAATGGTGGTTATTTTGAACATTTAATGAAATAAAACTGAAAATATCTTCTTCGTTTTATAGTTTAATTTAATGTTGTCAGCGCTTAGGCTTAGTATTAAGTATAATAAACTTCATATAAAGGAGTATTAGATTCAAACTCAAGATGAAGTTATTCGATACATTATTGTAGAAGAGACATTTTACTATGTATTTATAAAAGAAAATTTTCGATATTAGCTATCTAATAAAATTTTGAAAACAGGGCTTAGAACTTTTGCTTACCCCTAAGTAATATAAATTAGAGTGGAAATATTGAATGACAAAGTCATCGAAGAACATAAGAAAAAAACTGAAGAAACAAAAACTTATTCTCTTAAATCTCATCATCACTATGTTAAGAAAAAATCATAATAACACACAGAAAAAAGAGAAGCGCATTACTCAAGTAGTGGAAGCCTATCGAAACTTATTGATTTTTCTATATGATTCATTTGTTTCTTGACGACTTACTGATGATGAGGACATTTGAGCATGCCAATACTCTTACTTACATTCTCATTTGCACAGTTTCTTTGTGTAGAAATCGTTTGCTATTCGTTGTAAAGTACTTGGGAACTATATGAACATTCGTTAGCTGTAGTGACTAATGTAAGTTTCATGTATTTTCAGTGTTAGAACATATATTTTATCTAGAAAACTGATGATTCAATAGTGATTTCTGTGATTTTTTTTGAATCAATATGAGTCGATTTCAGCTAATTTCACCTAGTTTTTTCTAATGAAAAATTTAATTGTCTTGCTTCTTATGGTTTGAATAAAAAAACTAAATTCAACAAACAGTTAGTTTAACAACGGTTAAATATTTGTGATACTTCATAAGAAAAAGCATTTCGAGTACATTTAAGTCGACTTAGTTTTATATGGTACAATCTGTTAATCATGGATTAGAAAAGGCAGCAAAATTAGATCAACTAAATAATTAGCATCAGTTCTTTTAGTTATTCATAAGCTTGTTTCTCAATATGTCAAAGATGGATTTGTATTTTATTTCTTAATCTGAAACATAATACAATTACGGCTATCTTTCCGATCATAAAAAATCAAAAATGGAAAAATTGTCAATCTTCTTTCGTTTGTTGTTGAAAGACGAGAATAAATGCGTCATCCATTATTTCATTGCGAAACATGACAATTATAAATAAAAATTTATATCTACCAATTAATACGATGTAGTCTTGAATCTACTCATGGGCTTACAATTACATTCATACACAAATTTAAAGTATTATGTGACAAATTTCTTGCGGTGCTGTTTGATATCGCTTTTGAATAATACTGGTGAAGTATTTATTTTCCTTTTTCAATAGATGCATCGTTTTACAGATGTCGAGATACCTGCAAAACGACTTCCACATATATTTGGGTATTTGGAGGGTCCATTGCTTGGTCTCATGGAAACTCTCGAACCACTGTCTTCTCACGTCAAATATCTACATGAAGCTGTGAAAACTGCTACAAAGAAATGTCATTTTCCTTCAGAACATGGTCTCACACGCGATGAATCAGCTGCGCTCTACATCTATACAATGGAATGGGATGAGAAATCCCTTTATAAAGTGCTCAATGAAGCCCTTCGTTCGAAATATCGAAAAAGAGTGACAGTTTGGTTCCCATATTTGAAATTATTTCATACGGCAGTACAGAAATTGCCAAATGTTCAAAAGAATCTTTGGCGAGGCATTGAACGAGATTTTACTAATAGCTTTAAAAAAGACGATGTAATTACTTGGTGGAGTATCAGCTCTTGTTCACCTGATGTTGACGTCATCAAAGAGTTTCTTAAAGACAATTCAACACTATTTCTGATCGAAGCAGTGCAAGGCAAAGACATATCGATGTATAGTAGTTATCCATTCGAGAAAGAAGTTCTTCTTTGTCCAGCCACTCGACTTCAAGTTTTATCCAATGGTCTCGAAAGCTCGTCATTTCACTTAGTACATTTGCGAGAGATGCACGATGAAAGCCTACCATCACCACCGCCATCAGCTACATTAACACCGGCAACTATAGATCTAACGTTTGGAGTTTTAGTCGATGAAATTGGCAACAGATACGAATCATCAATTCATAAATTGTATTATTGAAAATATCGATAAACAGTTATATTGAACAAAAAAATGTGATATTGGAGAACAATGCGGAAGGTGGTATTAGAGATAACAAGAAGCATGGAAGAGGCACAATCAAATACATAAATGGAAATGAGTACGTCGGCGATTGGGTTGCAGACAAAATGACAGGTCAAGGCATGTTAATCGTGGCGGACGGACGAAAATATGAGAGAAAATATTCAATAATTTCGAATGAGATCAATGATAGTTTTTAGTTAGTGTTCGAACATGATTGATGCAATAGTAGAATATACGATGGGACAATTCCAAGATGACAATTTTGAAGGTAAAGGTGTTTACACATGGCCAGATGGTCGACGATATATGTCGCCATATTCATAAATGTTTCCTTATCAATATGATTACGTTTAGCTTTGCACTTCAACTAGGTTTTTTGCCATCAAAGAATATACGTCGGGTGATTTTCAAAACAATGGATTCACAGGTCAAGGTGTTTATACTTGGCCTGATGGTCGATGTTATGAGAAGAAGTATTCAGAAATGTCTTTCAATCGTGTCCGTACTATTATGTTTTTTACTTCAGTTAGATTAGCGAAACCTGTGTATAAATGTTGGGTGAGTTCCAGGATGATAAGTTTGAGGGCAAAGGCGTTTTCATCATGTCTGATGGTCAGCGGTACGAAGGTCAATTCATCAATAATAGAAAAACTGGCGAAGGTATCATGAGCTGGCCAGACGGGCGACAATACAAGATTTTACATTCCAAAACACTGAGTAATTAGTCATAGAATGCGAATATCTAGAATAAGACTCAATTGATATAATAAATGAATAAGGGTGGGGTGAATTTCTCAATGATAAATTCGCAGGTCAAGGTAGCTACCGTGAGCCTGATGGAACATTTTATGAGAAGTCAAGTTTTTTAATCATACAGATGAAAATATTCATATTGAATTTTGTACTTGAGTTGATTTCATGAAATAGATGAAATATCATTGGGACAGTTTAAGGACGATATGAAAAATGGTAGTGGTGTTCAAAGTTGGCCAAATGGAGAACATTACGAGATGTCATATTCCAGTTCTCTGTTGATCACTGACATGATGCGGAATTTTGTCGTTCTTCCTTGATTTAAGGAGCAAATGAACAATTACTGGGAGAGTATAAAGATGACCAGATGTATGGAAGAGGAATCTATACTTGGCCGGATGGTAGATGGTATCAGATAAGATATTCGCCAATGATCTGATAGTTATATCTTGATTATTGTATTTTTTATCTGAATTGAACATATCTAATAAACAAATAATTATTGGGACAATTTAAAGATGGAAAGAAGTACGGAAGAGGTATCTTCACTTGGCCCAATAAAACGCGCTACGAGACTGCATATTCAAAAATTGTTTGTGGCTATATCAAGAATTTCATATCTCTTATTATGAATTCTCTCAATACAATTAATCAATAGTTGAGGGGAGACTACAAAGATAACAAAAGGCATGGAAAAGGCATTTTCATCTGGCCCGACGGCAGACGATACGAGACGTCATAATCTAAATCCTTTGAAATATTTTTCTGTAACCATAAGTGTTATCTTCAAACCCGTTTGACACAATATACGAACCACTATCGGGTGATTACAAAGATGATAAAAAGAGTGGACAAGGCATCTTCATTCATTCCGATGGTCGACGATACAAGACGAAATATTCATAAATCTGTCATAAACAGCTCAATTATGTCCAACTTTATATTTAAATTCTAGTGATGTAATATAAAAATAAAGTTGGGGAGAATTCAAAAACGATAAAAAGAATGGAATAGGCACATTAATATGGCCAGATGGTAAACGTTACCAGTTAAATTATTCATTAATCTCACTGACTTGAATACATTGGAACAATTTTGAATTTATCTTCTAATCTTCAAATGAATGAATAGTTACCGGGACGATTTCAAGATGGTAAATGCAATGGAAAAGGTATCCAAATCTGGCCCAATGGTGAGCGACATGAGATAAAAACTTCATAGATGATGCGAACGAGCCTATACAAAGTCGTACATTTTTATAGAAAGGAATAAATATGATAAAAAGATAGACGCTGGGGCAGTATAAAGATGACAAGATGCACGGAGAAGGAGTTTATGTCTGGCCTAATGGCAAACGTTATCAGAATCCATATTCGAGAATGTTTCGTGAAGATTTCTGTCATATAAAACTGTTTCTTGAAATTTTGTTGATGTATTAGACAAATGGTCACAGGGACATTTTAGGGATGGGAAGAAAAATGGAAAGGGAGTTACCACATGGATTGATGGAAGGCGATACGAGGTACGATATTTATGAATTTCGTAGAAAAAAGTCAGTATTTTTAACTCTGTGTTTTAATTCAAATTGACATAGTTAGTAAAAAGCTGGTGGGACAATACAAAGATGACAAGATGCATGGAGAAGGAGTTTACATGTGGACGGACGGCAAACGTTATGAGATGAGATGTTCACAAGTTATCAATTATCATAACATTAGTGTCAAAAGTTTGTAATTGCAGTTGGTGAACATTAGCAGCGAACAACATTTGGGTCAATATCGAAACGATAAGAGGAATGGAAAAGGTGTCTTCATGTGGCCTGATGGTAGAAGATACGAGTAGACATATACTAAAATCTGTATGGTTTGTTTGTCAAACTTCGCTCCTTATTTTTAGACTCCGTCATAATAATGTATGAATAACTTCTGGGAGAATATAAAGACGATAAGAAGAACGGAATCGGCAGAATGATCTATCCGAAAGGCAAGATTGTAGAAGGAACATGGTTTAACAATCAATTAGTGGACTGATATAATTTCTTATTTTATATTATTTTACAACCTGAAAAAATAAAGTATTGAATGTTGCATAGTTACATTGCGATAAAATTAGCTTTATTCATTTTTCCTGAACTATGTCTAAAGTAAGAGCCAGTACAGAATTCTGAAAAATTCTGTTCTTTTTGTCTCATAGAACACTCGGAGTCGAAATATGTAACAGTTTAAAATGCAAGACTCTTCTTTTCAGTCAACACCTCATTCTCTTTATGCTTAAACACTTCTTCAAGATGTTGTGCAACCAAGCGATCGCCTATCGCTGCCTAGTATAATTTCAAACGTTTTGAGTCGATTATAAGGTATTCATTATTGTATCATAGTAAAGAGATTTTCGTCTGTTTTGTTTCACCACTATTTGATTTTGTGACGAATTTATCCAATATTGGAAAAAATCTGATTGCCAATAGTTAATTGAATACGTCATATATTGATTACTTACTGAGCTTCTCTGCAGCGAATGAAAGCAGCTGTACAAGTATATCTAATGTAAACATAGTGCTTTCACGCTGAAAAGAACGAAAAAAGACAGCATTTTAATCAATTTTAATTCAATGTTTGCATATAACTCATAAATTATAACAAATATGACTGATCTCTCACAGAACTATGCAATGGTTCTTTATTTTCACTCTAGCCATTGTATAGAGGCAGTAAAATATAATATTCATCCTTTCAATAGTTAGAGATTTATCAAAATACTATATAAGATTGCTTTACTAAAGTCAATATTAATCTTTTTCACATGGAATAATTTTCGAATGTACTAATGTCGGTTCCAGAAATAGATGGAGAAAACTCTAATAACCATATCTCGTGAACGGATACAGCTAGCGATCTCGGCTTTTCAGCATTAGAAAGAATGTGCTTGCGGGGCCAGATCTATATTATATTCACTAGATGGGCGAATGATCAAGGCTTTTAACTACCGTCAAAGATTTTGTGCTCTACCGAACAAAAATGTTTTCAAATAGAATTTCGATTTCACAGTGATCATTCGATAGTGCAAAGTCAGCTCTTTCAATCTACGCAAACCCAAACTTTTTATCATGTACCATTAAAAATTTATTCTTGCTACAGGGTGTGGGTGTGGGTGTGGGCGTGGGTATGGCAGATGATACACTCCACAAATCCGCGCCCGCACCCACTTTTTTTCGAAATTAATTTCTCAAAGACATAGAATTAGCAACTTATGTATTAGTTTATTTTACTGGACATGAAGGGTTGCTCCTGTGAAAAATGAGTGAGAAAAACTCAATTCTTTGTATTACCTTCTGCTTACCAGTCATTTGATCTTCTAGTTGATACTTATATGAAAGATTGTCTGCCATTTTAACAGCTAATTTTTTTTATGAAATAATTACGGATAGCAATCAAATGAAAATATTATAGTTTGTTCATATAGAGTGCTGATGAACAAAAGCAGAAAGAAGTACATATCTAAGTTACTTGATATT